TCATGCTCCTGCTCCTGAAACTACTCCTGCTCCTGATCCTGCTCCTGCTCCCGCTCCCGCTCCTGCTCCTCCTCCTCCTTCTCCTCCTCCTCCTTCTCCTCATCCTCCTCCTCCTCCTGCGTCCGAACTGCTGGACACCTGCCCCATTCTCGCCCCCTCCTGTGGCCAGCGCGGCGCCCGCGGGCCTCTCTGGAAGAGATTGACGAACTTCGATATCGACTCCGAGGCGGAGCAGACTCCTCGCTTCGCGTGGGCCGACAGAGTGGCATTTCTGCTTTGCAGCGTCAGTTAAAATGCCACGGGAAACGATGTCTCCTCTCGTCATCCTCCTCCTCCCCCTCCTCCTCCTCCTCCTCCTCCTCCTCCTCCTGGTCCTCCTGCTTCTCCTGCTCCTCCTGCCTCCTGCTACTCCTCCTCCTCCTCCTCACTCCTCCTCCTCCTCCTCCTCCTCCTCCTCCTCCTCCTCCTCCTCCTCCTCCTCCCCCTCCTCCTCCTCATCCTGCTCCCCTTGCTCCGCCTCCTCCTCCTCATCCAATTCCTCTTCCTCCTCCTCCTTCTCCTCCTCCTGCTCGTCATCCTCCTCCTCATCATCATCATCATCATAAGCATCATCATCATCATCATCATCATCATCATCATCAGCAGCAGCATCATCATCATCATCAGCATCATCATCAACATCATCATCATCATCATCGTCATCATCATCATCAGCATTATCATCAGCCGCAGCAGCATCGTCAGCATCATCATCATCATCATCAGCATCATCATCATAGTCAGCATCGTCATCAACAACAACATCCTCGTCAGCATCATAATCAGCATCATCCTTAGCAGCAGCATCATCCTCATCCTCCTCATAGGCTTCGTCGTATTAGTATTAGTATCAGTCTGAATAGCCATTCGTATGCATGGTAGTAAGAATAATATGCCCAGTAGTCGTAGCAGTATTACTAGTACTAGTAGTGCTCGTAGCATGACTGTTAGCAGTAGTAGTTTCAGAATTGCTCGTTGCTTTCGTAGTAGTATCGCTGTTCGCCGTCGTAGCAATAGTGATATTGGTATAAATATAAGTCGCACTATTACTAGTATTCCCCACATCCTGAAAATGGGGTTGTTGGTATTACTTAGACCGCGCGAAACACAGGAGGAAGGAAGGAAGGAGGGAACACACTTCCCACCCTCAGCTCATCATTACTTCAGACTGACATGTAGACTCACGCATATTCAGACTCACGCATACTCAGGTTCACTCGTTCTGACTCTGAGATTACTGATACTCAGGCTTCTCATGTTCGGGATCACTCATACACAGACCCACTCGCACTTCGAGTCGCTTCTCATATGCAAGGTTAATCATACGTATGTCGCTCACACACACACACATACTCACAATCACACTCACTCAGACTCACATGCTGACTCACTCACACACAGACTCACCCACACTAAGACTCACTCATACTCTGCCTCGCCCTTCCTCACTTAGACTCAGCCACACCACGTCCGCGCTCAGACTCAAACACACGTTGTGATGATGTCTCAGGCGAGGCGCTGGCTTCAGCACTCCCAGGGGGGGACGCCAGGGGGGTATTGCACGGGGCCGCTCGCGCCCACCTTGGGGAGATGTCTCCGGCGAGTTGCCGATGTCTGTGCTCAGCATCCTTCTCTGGTGGTGTTAAGGCCCAGTAAAGCGACCGGCGTGCTGACCCCCCCCCCCTTCGCGACAGGAGGTGCGTCGCGCATTCGTCGCCCGTGCGCCGCCCGTGCGTCGGCCGCCGAAAAGGCCAGCCGTCCTCTGAGACATTCTCGGACACTGCTCCACCAGACTGGTGGAGCAGTGTCCGAGCATGTCTCAGGCGAGGCGCTGGTTTCAGCCGTCCCAGGGGGGGGGCGCCATGGGCCCGTTGGCGCCCAGATTGGGGGGGGGGTCTCGAGCGGGTTGCCTGCCTGGGTGCTCAGCTTCCTTCTCGTTCGGAGCAGTTTCCCAGGATGTCTCAGGCGAGGCGCTGGTTTCAGCACACCCAAGGGAGGGACGCCAGGGGGTATTACACGGGCCCGTTCGCGCCCACATTGGGGGGGATGTCTCAGGCGGCGTGCCTGCGTGGGTGCTCAGCATCCTTCTCTTTCGGAGCAGTTTCCGAGGATGTCTCAGGCGAGGCGCTGGCTTCAGCACTCCCAAGGGGGGGACGCCGGGGGGTATTACACGGGCCCGTTCGCGCCCACATTGGGGGGATGTCTCAGGCGGCGTGCCTGCGTGGGTGCTCAACATCCTTCTCTGTCGGAGCAGTTCCCGAGGATGTCTCAGGCGAGGCGCGGATTTCAGCACCCCCAAGGGAGGGACGCCAGGGGGTACTGCACGGGCCCATTCGCGTCGGAATTGGGGGGATGTCTCGAGCGGTTTGCTTGTTTTAGTGCGCAGCGTGCTCCGCGTTCGGAGCAGATTTGGAGGAGTCTCGAGCGAGGCGCGGATCTCAGCACCCCCAAGGGGGAGCCGCCAGGGGGTAGTGCACTCCTCCGTTCGCGCCAAAATGGCGGGGATGTCTCGAGCGGGGTGCATGTTTCGGTGCTCAGCATATCGGCTTTCGGATGAGATTTGGAGGATGTCTCGAGCGAGGCACTCACGCTCGCCCCCATCTGGGGCCAGATTTTGAGAATGTCTCGAACGGTTTGCCAATTTTGCTGGCCAGACTCGTGGGCGCGAATCCTCTTCATGATGCCACAGGAGGCCACAGGAGGCTCCAGGATGCCATAGGACGTACCAGGAGGTATCAGGATGCCACAGGAGGCTACAGGAGGCTACAGGAGGCTCCAGGAGGCTTCAGGAGGCCCCAGGATGCTCCAAGAAGGTCCAGAAGGCTCCAGGAGGCTCCAGGAGGCTCCAGGATGCTCCAGGATGCCACAGGAGGCCACAGGAGGCCACAGGAGGCTCCAGGAGGCAACAGGAAGCGCCAGCAGACACCAGGAGGCCCCAGAAGGCACCAGGGGGGGCCCAAGAGTCCCTAGGAGCAGGAGCCATCAGAAGGCCACAGGAGTGGCTCCAATCCCATGTGGTGTACGTCTGCTCCTATATATTGTGCTTCCCCTGGGGCACAAATCCGATGTGTTTTACAAATGTGTCTATAGATTTGGCCTCCTCTGGGACACGATTCCTTGGTGTTTTACGCGTGTTCATATAGATTGTCCTTCTCCTGCGGCTCCAATCCGTAGTGTTTTATGTACGTATGTTCCTATATATTGGGCCTCTCCTGGGGCGCCTCAGGAGGAAATCGGAAGCCCCAAGAGGCCACAGGAGGCCCCAAGAGGCTCCAGGAGGCCCCAGGAAGCCCCAGGAGGTTTAAGGGGGCTCCAGGAGGCCCCAGTCTCATGCGCAGAGACACGCTCGTACTACTGAGACTGATTCACACTTTGACCCATTGACAATTAGATTCACTCCCAGACCGTCAATCTGAAGCCCGTGAATATTCGGAAACTCTTGCGCCTAGACACTCACGGCGGGCAGGTCCATGCTAATAGATGTACATATGGGGAGCTCCACACAGTGAATAAGTTTTGTTCCTCATGCTCCTCCTCCTCCTCCTCCTCCTCCTCCTCCTCCTCCTCCTCCTCCATCATCATCATCATCATCATCATCATCATCATCATCATCATCATCATCATCATCATCATCATCATCATCATCATCATCATCATCATCATCATCATCATCAATCATCATCATCATCATCATCATCATCATCATCATCATCATCATCATCATCATCATCATCATCATCATCATCATCATCATCATCATCATCATCATCATCATCATCATCATCATCATCATCATCATCATCATCATCATCATCATCAATCATCATCATCATCATCATCATCATCATCATCATCATCATCATCATCATCATCATCATCATCATCATCATCATCATCATCATCATCATCATCATCCTGCGTTCCATCGTTCTGCGCGCTCCTTCCTAAGCCCTTCTCCCGTTATCTGCGCCCGCGCCTTCGCTTCCTTCGGGAGGGAAGGGAGAGAACGGTCCTGCTGCAGCGAAGTAAGGCTACGGTTGCGCATGGGCAGGAAGGCCATCGATCGATCGAGTCGTGAAGCCGTGAGCATGGGCTGCTTCGTAGTGACTGAAACGACGTGGCATTGTAAAATCTAGCGCGGCCCGGCTGTGGTTCGTGTGTTTCGGGCCGATCGCGCCACGTGGCGCTCTGGCCCCAGGCGAGGAGCAGGAGGAGGAGAAGGAGGAGGTGGAGGAGGAGGAAGAAGAGGAGCAGGAAGAGGAGGAGGAGGAGGCGGAGGAGGAGGAAGAGTGGGAGGAGGAGGAGGAGGAGGAGGAGGAGGAGGACGAAGAGGAGGAGCAGGAGGAGCAGGAGGAGGAGGAGGCGGAGGAGGAGCCTGCGTCGCGCCCGCCCTGCGGTCGTCCCTTCTCTTTCTTTTCACCTCTCGGGTTGTTCCTTCCCTCCCCCACGGCGACCGCCAGCACTTCGCAGGAGAAGTAGGCAATGCGAATCGACCTGGATGCAGACTTCCACCCAACGGTGAAGCAATGCTGCCCTCAGCCTGCCGCGGGACCACAATTCGCTCGAGCATGCCCTCGCCGCTATGGAGCTGTGCCCTTTCATGCGCAGTGGAGTCCAGGAGCAGCTGGGTCGACCTTCCCTACTCACGGCGCAGGCTGAAACTGCCCACGTGACAGCAGTGCTACAAAAAAAAAACACAATCGGGATCCCAGCGGCACATGCCGTTGGCGAAAGAAGGGGCTGTGCCCACCATCGGGTCCAAACCAGGGCCTGCGTGCGCGAGGGATGTCTCAAATGTTGCCGTTTCGGGGATCCCCTGAGATTTGCAGGAAACCCTCATCGAGGCTGGTCTTGCTTGGATGCCGCTGCAGACTTCCTGCGTGTTCTCAACGGTGAGCGACTGGGAGAAGTGCACTCCGAAGACGCTGCTGTAGACGACGGCCAGCAAGGCGGCACAGCTTTCGAGTGACGTCGTTCGGGCCTAGTGTGGGCTCGTCGAAAGCGTGAACTCCAAATCAACACCATCAAGACCCAGATTTCGTCAAGCGATCGGTTAGAAGGTCAAAAAGCTGAGTGACACCAATTTGGGCAGCAGGCTACAGCTACCGGTAGATCCGAGAGATATAAAGCCAGGATGTGTAAGTTGTCAGGCGCCACGAGGTGCTAGGGAGATTAGGGCTGAACGCTCGTTCGTAGATGGCAGCCAGCATGACATCGGCCATCCGACCTGTCAAGAATATCGTTTCTGAGACCCCCATTGAGTCCCATTCCCTAGGCCCTAGAATACGACGATGTGTGGAATCGCTCGGGGGTTCTAGGATGTGTTACTGCAACTCCACACGAGAAGGATTCACAGTGGCGCTGGAGAACAGGGTAAACCAATACACCCTTGTTATGTACAGACGTACCCTGAAGCTTGGCCGCAGAAACAACGCCTCCGATCATGTGACAAGTCGCAAGGCTTCGCAACAGTGGGCCACCTGCGAGTACATATCACAATCATGACCTCCCGCCTTCGCTTCTTGACCCGCTTGCGTACCCATGCCCGACCTGTCGTCCAAACTCTTCTCGACTCGGTGTTTGGGGGGGTCCAGGGATAGTTCCCATTCTGAACTGGCCTGGTAAAGAACGACCCCAAACCTTCAGACGGATGGTCGCCAGCCTTCGCAATATAATCAAGTCACATTGGCAGACACGCGGAGAGCCAGACTTCGAGCAACGCTGGATGGCCCGCCTGAGACCGAACCCCGTCGCGAGAGCACTTCATAGTGGTGAAACCACTGAGCAGAGGATCCCGAACAGCTCGGCCCGCACCAGATGAGACCGCTGCTGCGAGACCTTCAAGGGACCCGGCTTTCACGCTACGGTTACGGGTTCACGTCGGAGTTCGACCAGGTGGTCTGAGTGCACAGAGGCAAGACCCAGATGTGCAAATCCAGCCCAGCCTCCTGAGTCACGGGCAGCACATGCCCCATTCGTGTGGCTCAGTGACTCTGCTAGGCAGCTGAAGCATATTCAGGGGGCTCGGAGTTGCCAAATGTGTTGGGCGAATCTCCATTTTTGAAACCTTCCCAAGAAGAGCTGCGGGAGTGGGTGGGCGACCGGCTTGCTGTGAAACAAGCAAGTCGAGCCCGCGGCCTGGCCGAGTGTGTTACCCATGTCCCTCCTGTGCGGGTCCCAGGACCGTCGTTTCGCCATCATGTGACAGTTTCTAAGACTGGATCCTTGTTCATTCCAACGCTGCATTTCGGAATAGGCATCCCTGCCATCAGCTGCTGTTATCTCGCCTCTAGTCCCCGACCCCATTTCACATGCTTACATAGTGTCTGCCATGAGTATTTGGAAAGCAGCTTCTCCTAGCGCCCTCTCTTTTGCGCAAAGCACGCTTTGGAGGAACAAACGAGCGTGTCCCATAGATCTCGCTTTCCACACTCACTCGAAGGGTTCGATGCTGAACCCACATACAGTTCACACTACATGGACTTAGCACGAGTATGTAGGATAGTGGAATTGCCTTTTGGGCACACGTGCTCGAGTTTCATGCAGTTGGCGACGCCAGACAACCCTCAGCGGCACCAGCTTCGGCCTAATCGTCCCCACGATGCACCCTGGGGGGATTCTTCACCTTGGGAACAGGGAGATGGAGTGGATGCGTGATGAGAATGCTTGATTACGGGGGTGCATGAAGCTGTGGTTCGTGGGTGTGCGTATGCTGATCCCTGGTCTGAGGACATTGCCTGCCTCGCATCATGCTTGTCGCGGCGACCCATTCGGTGCTGCCCTATGCGGAAGTGCGTGCATGTGACGTGATGCCAGGATGCGACGCTGCCCCCAACCCTCCCACTGCCTCACACCTGCGCCAATCGCTCCCTGAGGTGGCAATCACCGGACGATGGCGCAAATCAGATGACGCGTGCAGACATCCTGGAGCAAACGGCCTCGGCCGACAGCCACGAGGAGGTGGTCAGACTCAACCTCTGGCAGAGACGGTCCATGTTCCTCGGGAGGCAGGCCTGTTCGGAGAGGGAGGGCCTGCGCATGTGGGAGGACGTCAAGGCTTTGCTGCACGGGAGCTGGGATGCTGCCAACTCCCGCGCCGATGGCGTCATTCGGCGCGCGAGGGCCCGCCCCAACACTCGGGCGTGCGCGGGGGGCCCCTGGGCAGGGATAAAGGGGCCCGAACGCTCCCGCGGCGGGGCGGTGCACGACTGCCAGCGACCTCCCTGTCCAGCAGAGCCATGCGCCCCCGAAGGCACGGCCACCGAGTGAGCAGGCGGGAGGCGCGGGGAGGGTCTGGTGGGCAAACGGCCGAACGCTTCACCATACCGCGGGGATCCGCGGCACCTCCTCCTCCTCCTCCTCCTCCTCCTCCTCCTCCTCCACCTCCTCCTCCTCCTCCTCCTGCCACTCCTCCTCCTCCTCCTCCTCCTCCACCTCCTCCTCGCCTCCCCTCCTCCTCCTCCTTCCTCTCCTCCTCCTTCCTCCCCTCCTCCTCCCAGCCCTCCTCCTCCGCCTCCTCCTCCTCCGCCTCCTCCTCCTCCGCCTCCTCCTCCTCCTCCTCCTCCGCCTGACGCTCGCAGCGGGGAGGCTCTGTGGGCCGAGGCGTCGGCAGGCGGGCCGCCAGCGCGGCACACGCCGCACTGGGAACAGGGGCGCCCACGCGCGGCCTTGCGCGGGCAGCTTGCGCGCCGGTGCCCGTGAAGACGAGCCCGTCGTCCCTCGCCGCTCCCATGGCGCTCCTCCTCCTCCTCCTCCTCCTCCTCCTCCTCTCCTCCGCTCCTCCTCCTCCTCCTCCTCCTCCTCCTCCTCCTCCTCCTCCTCCTCCTCCTCCTCCTCCTCCTCCTCCTCCTCCTCCTCCTGCCTCCTCCCTCCTCCCTCCTCCTCCTCCTCCTCCTCTCCTCCTCCTCCTCCTCTCCTCCTCCTCCTCCTCCTCCTCCTCCTCCTCTCTCCTCCTCCTCCGCCTCTCCTCCTCCTCCTCCTCCTCCTCCTCCTCTTCCTCCACTCCACTCCTCCTTCCTCCTCCTCCCTTCCTCCTCCTCCTCCCTCTCCTCCTTCCTCCTCCTCCTCCTCCTCCTCCTCCTCCTCCTCCTCTCCTCCTCCTCTCTCCTCCTCCTCCTCCCCTCTCCCCCTCCGCCTCCTCCTCCTCCCTCCTTCCTCCTCCTCTTTCCTCCTCACTCCTCCTCCTCCTCCTCCTCCTCTCCTCCTCCTCCCCCTCCTCCTCCTCCTCCTCCTCCTCCTCCTCCTCCTCCTCCTCCTCCTCCTCCTCCTCCTCCTCCTCCTCCTCCTCCTCCTCCTCCTACAGCGATCCCAGGGTGCAGCGCTCGCTCTCCTGCGAGGCCCACGCCTGGTGGGTTGCCACCGCGGCGGGGGCCGCCCTTCCCCGGCGAGGGAGGCGGGGGGATCCCTGGGGGGCTCACGGTGGACCCGTGGCGGTGGCGTCCTGACGGCCCCCATGGGTGAGCGAGTTCGCTGCATGTTCTGCTGTCTCTTCTCTTCTGACACGGGCTCAGACTGTTAGGCTTCGACGAGCGAGCGAGCGAGCGACGGGGGGGGTCGAGGTTTCAGGGCGTTTGGGAGTCTACTTTGGGGCCTCCAAGAGCCTCGGGAGACCCAAAGGCCTGTGGTGACCTCCCAAGGCCTTGAACCGTGATTGGAGAGCGTGCCCCTACACTGCAAATGGGCCCCAAGGCGGCTCTAGGTGGCCACGGAGCCTCACAATGATACCCCAGGGAGTCCAAATCAGTGGTGTTTGCTTAGGGAGCTATTGATGGTGCCTCGCCGCTTCGCTTCCCATGGGCTCCTGGTGCCTAAAGATGGCTCCAAGATCGCCCGAGAGAATCCCAATTGCGACCTTGAATCTTCCAAGACGCCGATTTGGCGCCCCGAAAGAATCCCAAAAGGGTCCAAAGATGCGAACTGTCGGGCTCCAAGCGGGGGACCACAATTTACGACCTTCTCTTTTTGGAGCGATGGCCTCCAGGATAGACGGCCTCAAGGAGGGCCCAAAAAAACAGGCACAAAGAGACCTCTGAGATGACTCCAAGAGGCCTTCAAGAGGCTCTTAGAGGTCTAAGGTCAGCAGTGTTGGCCTTGCTGCTCCCTGCTTCCGAGTGGGGCTGATCGTGACAATTACGGGAAGCGGAAATAATTACATTCGCGCATCCACCTTTCGGGAGTCGGCAGAATGCATTAACCCTCTTAGACAGATTACCCTCTGAGTCGAAGACGCAAAATCTGGAGAATGGCTCGAGCAGAGGATGGCGAAGGAGGAGCATGAGGTGGAGAGAGGAGGGTGACGCAATATACGCTCGCTGCCGCGCCTGCTCATCCTCCTCCTCCTCCGCAGCAGCAGCAGTAGCCTTCTCCCCCTCCTCCTCTTCCTCCGCATCCTGCTCCTGCTCCTCCTCCTCATCCTCATCCTCATCATCATCAGCAGCAGCATCAGCATCAGCATCAGCATCAGCATCAGCATCAGCATCATCATCATCATCATCATCATCATCATCATCATCATCATCATCATCATCATCATCATCATCAGCATAACCATCATCATCATCACCATCATCATCATCATCATCAGCATCATCATCATCATCAGCATCAGCATCAGCATCAGCATCAGCAGCATCATCATCATCATCATCATCATCATCATCCTCATCCTCATCCTCATCTTCATCATCATCATCCTCATCCTCATCATCACCATCACCATCACCATCACCATCATCATCAGCATCAGCATCAGCATCAGCATCAGCATCAGCATCATCATCATCATCATCATCATCATCATCATCATCATCATCATCATCATCATCATCATCATCATCATCATCATCATCATCATCATCGTCATCACCGGCCAGCCGCTGAGGGATCGGGGTCCCCTGCTGGCGGACTGCAGGAAGCTGCCCAGACTGGCCTGGGTCTTGATGCCCCCCGTGGCCAGCTTTCCTCCCAGGGGGGAAGAGGACCGGGCAGTAGCAGGACCGAGCAGGAGCAGCAGCACGAGCAGGAGGAGCGGGAGAAGGAGCAGGAAGGGGGAGGAGGAGGAGGAGGAGGACTGAGCAGGAGCAGCAGCACGAGCAGGAGGAGCGGGAGAAGGAGCAGGAAGGGGGAGGAGGAGGAGGAGGAGGAGGAGGAGGGGGAGGAGGAGGAGGAGGAGGAGGAGGAGGAGGAGGAGGAGGAGGAGAGGAGGGAGGAGGGAGGAGGAGGAGGAGGAGGAGGAGGAGGTGGAGGAGGAGGGGGAGGAGGAGGAGGAGGAGGAGGAGGAGGAGGAGGAGAGGAGGAAGAGGAGGAGGGGAGGGGGAGGAGAGGAGGAGAGGGAGGAGAGAGGAGAGAGGAGGAGGAGGAGGAGGAAGAGAGGAGGAGGAGGAGGAGGAGGGGGAGGAGGAGGACGAGGAGGAGGAGGAGACGACGACGAAGAGGAGTGGAGGAGGAGGAGGAGAAGGCGGAGGAGGACGAGGTCGAGGTCGAGGAGGACGGGGAGGGGAGGGAAGGAGAGATGCGGGAGGGGGGAAAAAGGGAGCACGGGAGGAGGCGAGGAGGGAAGGGCGGGGCAGGAGGAGGAGAGGGGACAAAAGGACTGGGAGGGCTCGCGGCCAGTTCCCGCAAGCCTGGGCACGCCAGGGCCTGGCGGAGCACACAGCAAGGCATCCTGAGTGCGAGACCATAGATAGGCCCCATCCTCCGCATCCTCCTCCTCCTCCTCATCATCCTCCTCCTGGCGCCCCTGGTTCGTCCCCATCCTCTCATCTGACTCTCTCCTCCTCCTCCTCCTCCTCCTCCTCCTCCTCCTCCTCCTCCTCCTTCTCCTCCTCCTCCTCATCATCCTCCTCATCCTCCTCCTCCTCCATCTCCTCCTTCCCTCTTGGTCTTCGTATTACTAGTATTGGTATCGTTCGCTTTAGTACTTTTATTCATAGTAATATTAGTGTTGTTACTGTTAGTGTTATCATTAGTATTCGTATTATTATTCGTGCTAGTACTAGTATTATTGTGATTCGCATTATTAATATTGTTATTGTTATGTTGCTTGTTGGCTAGTATTCATCTTATTACTCTTATTGTTCGTATTTTTATTCTTATTATTATGATGATTCCTCCTCCTCCTCCTCAACCGCCTCCTCCGCCTCCTCCTCCTCCTCCGCCTCCTCCTCCTCCTCGTCCTCCTCCTGCTCCTCTTCCTCTTCCTCTTCCTCTTTCTCCTCATTATCCTGCTACTCCTCCTCCGCCTCCTCCTCCTCCTCCTGCTGCTGCTACTCGCCATCCTCCTCCTCCTCCTCCTCCTCATCCTCCTCGTCGTGCTCCTTCGTCTTCTTCTCGTCCCCCACCACCACCACCACCACCACCACCACCACCATCATCATCATCATCATCATCATCATCATCATCATCATCATCATCATCATCATCATCATCATAACCGTCAGCATCATCACCAGCAGCAGCATCCTCGTCATCATCATCATCATCATCATCATCATCATCATCGTCATCATCATCATCATCACCATCATCATCATCATCATCATCATCATCATCATCATCATCAGCATCACCAGCATCAGCATCAGCCTCAGCATCATCATCATCAGCATCAGCATCATCATCAGCATAATCATCATCTTCATCGGCATCATCATCATCAGAATCAGCATCAGCATCATCATCATCATCATCATCATCATCATCATCATCATCATCATCGTCAGCATCGTCATCATCATCACTACCATCGGCATCATCATCACCATCATCAGCGTCATCATCATCATCATCAGCAGCAGCAGCATCGTCATCAGCACCATGATCAGCATCGTCATCAGCACCATCATCGTCAACAACAACAACGATAACAACAACCACAGCAATAACAATAACAACAACCATAACAACAGCAACAGCCATAACAACATCAACCTAGCATAATCATCATCAAAAACACATCAGCATCAGCATCATCAGCAGCAGCATCAGCATCACCATCAACAACAACAATCAGTTTAAGAGTGTTTCCTCCTATCTGGCCGCGTGCCATTCAACATGTATATCCCAAGTCCTCGGTACCCGCTCTCTCCGCCTTCGATCGTACCCCCTTTGGGGTGTATCCTCCTTACCTGCCACGTGCATATAGCGCAGCCCCTAAAACAGCGGAAGAGGGGACGGATGGAAGGGGGAGGGAAAAGGATGGAGCACGAGAGAAATTAGCAGGAGGGGGCTAGGAGCAGAAAACCCGTGGCAAAATCAGACGGGCAGATCGTGCGGGAAGACCCCAGCGGGCGGGTCGGAAGGCGGGCCCAGGCGGCCAGGTCGAGCAGGCGTGAGGTTGAAGCGTGAGCCCTGCATAAATCGCGAGCAAATCTCGAGCGATGACGCGATTCCCAAGTAAGTCGTGAGAAAGGCCAAAGCGAGAGCGTGATTCCTGAGCGTCGAGGGCGGAGCGTTTGAATAAATTGCGAGGAAGCCCCACTTGAGAGCGCGATTTCTGCATAGATTGTCAGAAGTCCTGCGCGAGAACACGATGTTGTAATAAACAATGAGGATGTATCAAGCGGGAGCCATTGTTGCCAAGGGACCAATTTGACAAACAAGACTTTCCCTGATAAGAAACCGGGTGCGAGCCCAGGGAGGATCACTTCAATTAGAAAACTACAATGCGCGCCAGACGAAGGATCAGCACCAACTATACTTCAGAAGTGAAAATGCAATAACAAAAACAACAGCCGCAACAGCAGCAACAACAACAACGAAGGCAGCAGCAGCAGCAACAACAACAACAGCAACAACAACAACAACTATTACAACAACAACAACAACAACAACAACAACAACAACAACAACAATCATTTTACCCGAACGCTCAGTGTTCTCCCCAGTGCCAGGGTTTTCTTGCGACACCAGCCAATACCCCCACTTCGTGGGGGGGCCGTTCAAGCTCTACCAAATATCCAAACGACTCTTCGAGACCACCCACACCCAGCTTCCCGCCCTATGACGTTGGGACACTTCACTTCGTGGCGTGCGGACGACCCTGGCTACTACACTGGCGTGGGGTACACACCCACAGAGGTTGATCACATCTGTTACATATGATGTGGTACACGGTACACGTGAGATGGTACGCAGTGCCAAGATAGTTGGTCACATTTTTGGGGCAAATTCGTGGGGATGCGATTACAGAAGTACATGTGTTACACTGATGTTATACAGTCCCAAGGATGACGCATGCATTGCTCATAGACTCATGCATTGTGTTTGGCAGGATTTCGACATGCGCGCGCGGCGGCCGCGCGCATGTGCACTTCGTCTCATTTTTTGCAAGGGATGGTGGCCCTCGCAGGCGCGCAACCGTTGTTGGAGAAGTTCAAAGCACCTGAAGAAGTAGCACGCAAAGACCCTTTTGACAGAAATGTTTAAAAAGTGGTGTGTTTCCTATGAATCCGCAAGAGCGCGCGGAAGGACATTTTGACAATTTTTTCTTAAAAAACCATTGGGTTTTTGATGTTTTTATGTTAAAATCGTTACGAAACCTAAGGTTTTGGAAGGATTTCGTCTTGCGAGCGCGAATGTCCACTTTACCTTATTTTTTGCAAGGGATTCTTGAAATTTGATCAACTAAGAACAAGAATTTTCATTTTCTATTGTTTTTTGCAAGGGAAAACGAGCGTCAACAAAAAACCGGATCCGGGGGTAATCCACTTTTCTGAAGCTTTCGCAGAAAAATGATGAAAATGTAGCTGCGGCCTAGGTTTTGGGCGGGGGGCGTGCACCAGGGGGTCCAACAATAATAATTCTTTAGAAGTAACAGTGTTCAACAATAACTACAGCCACAGCAGCAACAACGGAGATCACAACAAACACAATAACGACAACAACGACAACGACAACGACAACGACGACAACAACAGCAACAAACACATCAACAAAATAACAAAAGACATCATCAACAACATGAACAACAACTATAACAACAAAAACAACAGCAGCAGTAACAATATCAATAACAACAACGACAACCAACAACGACATCATCAACATCAGCAGAACCATCATGATCATCACAATCAGCATCAGCATCAGCATCAGCATCATCATCGTCATCAGCATCACCATCGTCATCATCAGCATCATTAGCAGCATCAGCATCCGCATCCTCTTAAACATCGTATTCATCACCACTGTAAGCATCATAATTAGTATAGCCATCAGCATACTCATCATCGTGGACAGCAGCAGCATCATGGCCATCCTCGTCATCACCATCATCATGATCGTCGTGACCAAGCGTATGATCAGCAGCATCATCAACACGATCAACATCCTCATCATCATTATCATCATCATCATCATCAGCATCATCATCATTGTCGTCATCATCATCATCATCATCATCATCATCATCATCATCGTCAGCATCAGCCTCAGCATCAGTATTATCATCATCATCATCATCATCATCATCATCATCATCATCATCATCATCATCGGCATCATCATCACCATCATCATCAGCATCATTACCGTCATCATCATCATCATCATCATCATCATCATCATCACCATCGTCATCGTCATCATCATCATATTCCACATTATCATCGCCATCATCATCAGTAGCATCATCCTCATCTTCATTTTCATCACCATCATCATAGCCGTCTGTCAGGTCATCATCATCATCATCGACACCATAATCGTAATCAGCAGCATCAGCCTGCGCATCTTCAACATCATTACAATCATCATCATCATCATCATCATCATCATCATCATCATCAGCATCGTCATCATCATCATCATCATCATCATCATTAACAACATCCTAAACATTATCATAATCAACAACTTAATCATCAACCTCATCGTAATCACCATCACCACCACCATCGTCACCGGCATGGCATCATCATGATCGTCGTAATAATCCACCTACGTCTCCTCATCCTCCTCCGCCTCCTCCTTGCCCTTCTCCTCCCCCGTATCCATCCTCTGCTCTGACTCCACCCTTCTCCTCCCAGTCCTTTTCGTCCACCTTCAGCTCCTCCTCCTACTCGTACTCCCCACTTCTCCCGATCCTCCTAGTCATCATACCACCGTCATCGTCATCGTCATCGTCGTCATCATCATCATCATCATCAGCATCAACATCATCATCAGCATCATCGGCATCGTAATCGTCATCGTCATCGTCATCATCAGCATCAACGACATGAGCATCATCATCAGCATCGTCATCATCATCATCATCATCATCATCATCATCATCATCATCATCATCATCATCATCATCATTATCATCATCATCAGTATCCTCATTAACATCACCACCAGCATCATCAGCGTCGTCGTCGTCACTGAAATCATCGGCGACGTCACCGTCAACAAGCCTCCAATATCGCGCCAAGACGGCCACAAGGCTACCCAAGAGGGCCTCAATACAGCCCTAGGAAGCTCCAATGCGGCCCAAGAGGCCCCCTAAGGTTGGCCCAAGACGGCCCCAAGACGGCCCAAGAAGCCTGCAAGCGACAAGATAGCCCAAAAGGCCTCCAAGACGGTCTCAAGATGGCCCCACGAAGGCCCCGAACTAGCCCTAAAGGCCTCCAGCATTGCTTCCCTCACGCGCCTCCATCCACCTCGTCCGTCCTGGGTGACATCTTCCAGGACCGGCAGATACGGCCGCAAGGCCTTCGGAATCGGCTGTTGATGTGAAACATGTTAGAGGTCCCCTGTGGTCTCTTGGGAGGCCTCTCGAGCGCCCATCGAAGGCCTCTTGGGAGCTTCTCGGGGACATTTTGCGGCCTCCTCGGCCTCTGCGGGCTTCATGGGGTCATCTTGATGCAAACAACAGTTGGTTCAACGGCCTGGTCACGATGTGGAGGGTGTGGGGGGGGCTCTTAAAGCCATCCTGGCCCGCCACACAACGAGCGAGGCTGTGCCCACAGGTTTGACCAGTCAGCGCCACTCTCGCAACCCTGAGAGGAAAGAACAGTTCTCGCAACCCAGGCACGTCTGCGTCTGGACAAAACCATCGAGAAAGGCCACGTCACTTCGGACGTGCTTACAACACGGATGGTTTCACGTCAACACGAAGGACACATCCAAGGAAGGGTGCCCCGACAATCGAACTCAGGCGCACGCTGCAAGCGCAGACTCAGGCATAGGCTGCTGAAGGCAAGCAAATAATACACCATCCGATACGGCGTGTGTGAGACGCTGTCGTCGTCGTCGTCGCCAGTCCCAAGGAAATTGAGGAACGAACAAAGAAACGCAGCGTTGTAGTTAAGACGATTCCCTGTCTAGTTGCCCTTCCCTGACGAGCGAGAGGGGGGAAGGGCTCTACAAGGACGGTTACGGGGGGGGGAAAGGACAGGGGAGGGTACGGGGGGGGGGGGTTCTGGGTCAGATTGCCGCCCCCTGGGGTCCCGGGGGCAGGTCCCCCGTGGACAGGGAGACAGTGGGGTGGCCCTGCCCTGTGGGGGGGGGTCCTGCCCTGTGGGGGAGGTCCCGGGTCAAAATACCGCCCACCCCAAGGGTCCTGGCGGGTCCTGGGGCGGGTCGCAAGCGGGGGGTCTCGAGGGAGGTCCCGCCTTCAGGGGCGGCGGCACCGGCCGTAAGGCCTTCACAATAATACACCATCCAACGCGTGAGATGCAACATCTGCGCGCAGGGGATTAAGACCCCCTTTCGAAGTGTAACTAGCTTATCTTCACCATGAACAACAACTCTACTACATCTTCTTCTTATTACCACCACCACCACCACCACCACCACTACCACCACTATCATCACCGCAACCACCACCACCACCACTACCACTACTTCTGCGACGACGACGACGACGACGACTACTACCACTTCTTCTTCTTCTTCTTCTGCGACGACTACGACTACTACTACTACTACTACTACTACTACTACTACTACTACTACTACTACGACTACTACTACTACTACTACTACTACTACTACTACTACTACTACTACTACTACTACTACTACTACTACTACTACTACTACACTACGAAAACTAGTGGCGTCAGGCCACGAAGGATGAGGAGGTACTGTAGGGACGGGAGGGGAGAGAAGGAAGAGGATGAGGAGGATGAGGAGAAGGAAGAGGGACAAGGGAGCAGGGAGAAGGGACGAGGGAGGAGGTGCTCAAAGACGTCCTACCGAGGCCGCTGATGGCGGCTACGGCTCCTTCCAAGGACGTCAGCTGCGATCTAAGATCCTCCAGCCAGAGGCCACCGCTGCTGAGGGTGGCATTGAGCATGTCGTCCAACGGCTGGGCAGCGGCGGAGGGAAGCCAAGGCCGAAACCCAGCGCACACGCGCGGAAAAGAGAAGCAGGAGGAGGCAGGCGGGAAGGACGGGGAGGAGGAGGAGGAGGAGGAGGAGGAGGAGGAGGAGGAGGAGGCGGAGGAGGCGGAGAAGGCGGGTGAAGATGGATGGATGGCACGCTCATCGAAGCGGTGACTGATCGCAAACTTGAAAGCCAGAGAAACACTGTCTTTATGTCGCGGCAGCCCAAGGAAGCAGCTGAAGGAACAGGAGGAGGAAGAGGACGACGACGACGAGGAGGGAGGATAAGAAGAAGGAGGCAGCCAAAAGTCACCAACGTCGGTGGTCAGAAAGGAATGTGGGAGGCAGTTCCCCGGCAGGTGCGACGGGACTGCAAGCGGCTGCCCCGCCAAGACGGCAGCCAGTCCGAGCATTGACCGTCCTCGTCGGCCGAGTCCGACTATGCGAGGCAACTCCCTGTTGCAGCCGTCCAGCTCGCCTGCGGCCATACCAGGACACTGCAATAGCGATGGTGGCATCCGCCCGTTGGTCTCAACCACATCGCCAAGGCGCATTGCTCTCCGAGCGGTGGTCAGGATGATGACGCGTTGTGCAGCTGCGCATCAAGGTGAGGAGCAATACGGCATTGGAAGGTCGGGGCACAGTGAGCAAATCAGCTAACACCCACGGTATGCACGCAGACGCACCGTAATTTGGACAGCGAAAGGGACGCAGCATTTCTTGACATCGAAAACGCCTTCGGCTGCATGAGCCGTGGCGTCATGTTGTCACAGCGTTCCCGGCATTGTGGAACTCGGTGCTCCACCCTCCGCAGTCGGAACGTGGCCACAAGACCGCGGGCCAAGGACACGGGCCCCTTCGCCGATGGCCCAAGGTCCATTGCAAATACCCCTATCGAAAAACGCTCCTGAGGCTGAGAGCCCCAACGCACGACGAACATGAGGGGTAACCCTCCAAGGTCAGGGTAGCTCTTGACCTTCGTGTCAGCTGCACTGCATGAACGGAGCATCGTTCAGGAAGGATGGCGATGGGGATGTGCAGGACCTGGGACGGGGATCTTCGGAGGGGAGGGCGAAGCGGAGGAGGAGGCGGCGTATGCGGAAGGAAGGATGAAGACGAGGAGGAGGAGGAGGAGGAGGAGGAGGAGGAGGAGGAGGAGGAGGAGGAGGAGGAGGAGGAGGAGGAGGGGGAGGGGAGGGGGGAGGAGGAGAAGAAAGGAGGAGGGGGAGGGAGAGGAGGAGGAGGGGGGGGAGAGGAGGAGGAGGAGGAGGAGGAGGAAGAAGAAGAGTAGGAGGAGGAGGACGGGACGGGGGAGAGGAGAAAAACTGAGCAGGCATGGACCAAGGCTGCCCCTTCTCGCTGCCTGCCTCCATGGTCAGCCTCGAGCGGCTCCTCAACGGAGCACGCACCACCCTGCGCAGAGCTGGCCTCGACGACGGCATCCGCTCCCGGGATTCGGAAACCGCATGTGAACCCTGCTCCTGCAGGCCAAATGTCCCGAACACTGGCGGGGGGCGCCAGAATCTGAAGGATGCCTGCAGCCGAGCGACCCCCAGCCTGCGTGGGGCAGGGGTAGGGTTCGCAAGCGGTAGGTTTCGCAAGTTTCTGGAACCGCAGGGGCAGGGTAGGTTTTGGAGTAGGAGGAGGAGGAGTAGGAGTAGGAGTAAGAGGAGGAGGAGGAGGAGGAGGAGGAGGAGGAGGAGGAGGAGGAGGAGGAGGAGGAGGAGGAGGAGGAGGGGTAGGGTAGCGGCAGGGCTCGCACGCGGCAGGGTATCGTTTGGAACCGCAGGGGCAGGGCTCGCAAGCGTGCGCCGAGGGACTGCGCGGGCGACACCCTGCGTCGCCGGTGCGCAGCCTCGCCCGGCCAGGCGGCCCTCGCGGCCCCGGGCCGAGGCTGGACAGCGCGAGGCAGTGCGCGCTCCGGCGAGTCCGAGCCCAGGCTGCGGGGCGTCGAGTAAGGCACTCTGTCGAGGAGTAAGGCACTCTGTCGAGGAACCTCCAGCAGCGCCGCGCGGAGACTTGCTGTCCGTCGGCGGCGAGGCGGGGCAAGCCGCTCCCGCGTGGCAGCTATTCAGGGGCACAACAGAGCGAAGTGGCCAGCATGCCGGAGGGTGGAGGAGAAGGACGCGGCGGCCGCGGGGGGGAAGCCGAAAGGAGGGCGAGAACTCAGAGGCGGAAGACTTCTGCCATGAGCAGCCGGAGCGGCCCGCGGGCGGCGGGGCACCGCGTGGAGACACTGCTGCGCATGGTTTGATCGGCCCCTAGCCTCGTTGGGCGTGGCCTGGGCCCCACTGGCCAGTTCACCCCCCTAGATGGGGATGTAGGCTGCTCAGTTCGGCTGTTCCGAGGGGCATATCTCCAACTGCATCGGGATGGGCATGGGGATAGGGGTCGGTGAAACGATGCTGAACTGCAGGTCTTGCGACACCATGTCTGGCCATCTAAGGGGCATGTACACACATTGCGGCTCGAGTGCTTCATCGGCCCAGTCGCCCCGGGCACCGCTGCCCTCCGAGAAAAACTCGACCGGCCGCTGACCACGCACGCGGAATGCGGACTACCCAGGGAAGACTACGCAGGCATTCGCGCGCTTGTCTGCGCAGTCGAAGCCACGACACGTCTTGCGCAGGGCCGCCGTTACTGCCGAGCAAGCCTGGACCTGAGACGCTGCAGTCGGAGCACTTTTCGGTGAGATTGCTCGGCGAAAATGGCCCCCTCGACATGTATCGCAGACTGCAGCTAGACCTCCCGCTCCGTCACGGCGGCCATACCTTTGACAGAGTGGAGATGTGAGCTGATGCTGCTTTCCTCGCCTATGCTCTCAAATCCATGGGCTAGGTGTTGAGCGGCGTGGGCGCCAACACCGTGGCAGAGCTCCAGAATTTGTTACCGCAGCATGTGAAGGGCGTGAACAGTGCGGTGAACATCTTGGAGCGAGAATGTATGCAGGAACAGACGCGCTTGTGGCAGCGTGAATACCCGCAGCCAGTTGAAGGTACCCAGCGCGTCTGGACGCGAGCGCTTCTGCGCCACTCGTACGCCAGGATCCCAGCAACCACCGCAAAGGGCCAGCAGCAGCTCTCAGATCAGCCTGCACTCCAGAGGCGAGCCGCTTCCACCCCCGCCCGGCGCACGAGCGTCTTTGCGCCGCCAGAACGTGACACTGTCCACTACCGCTGGGTCGTGTCCCGAGCATTCAAGGTGCGGTGGATGTGGATACCTGCCCGCCCTCGCGGGCGGGCAGATATCCACATCCACCGCTCCCCGAGATCTCAGGACACGACTCCGAAGCGGTGGATGTGGACATATTCTAGCGGTGGATTCTTGCCGCTCCCACCGAGCAGCGGCGCCCGCAGCTCGACGAGCCCATGCCGGGCGACAAGATGTCGGCCCGCGGCCGAGCGAAAGGAGGGCACGCCCCATCCTCGTCCGCGCTGCTGCCGTCGACATCCCCAGCGCAGGCCCCACCTCTGCGGAGAGGCGGCGCGCGATGCGCGGCGGAGCCGCGGCGGAGCAGAGTGAAAGACGAGGAGCGGGATGAGGAGCCTCCTCCTCATCCCTCCTCCTCCTCATCCCTCCTCCTCCTCCTCCTTCTCCTCCTCCTCATCCTCCAGGGCCAGCTCGAGAAGCCCGCGGGGCTGGGCTGCCGGTCCGACCGCGACCGCCGAGCCACGGAGAGCGGCCTGGGACAGCGGCGGGGCCGCCGAGGGCTTCGCGGCCAGGCGCGGCTGATGGATGGACCAGAAAACAAACGACACCACCCCACCCACGGCCCCACGGGGCTTAGCGTATACCAGGAGATCTGGCGTGGGCTTTCGCGTGGTATAAGCTACGGAGCCCGATGGGCTGTAGCGCAACATGGAGGGCCGTGGGTGGGGTGGTGTCGTTTGTTTTTTAGTCAAATGGTGCGGGAGCAGTCGGCATCGAATCAGTGGAGCAATTAGACGACACAGTCGAAACTTGGCCACAAGAACGCGGGCCAAGAGCATGAGCCTCTTCGCGGAAAGCCCCAGGCACTTTTGTGTATACCTGAGGTGACGAGCATTCCAGCGTGGAGAGCCCAGAGACGAAGAACCAATGGGCAAAATCAATCAACCTCAAATCAAGCAAGCGGATCGCATCGAAATGTGCGTCGGGTCGGGCTGCATCGGAACGGAGTCGAAATCCAGTCGGATCGGCTGCGCCAGGATGCACAGCAAGGCCATACAAGCATGGGGCCGCATTGGACCGTCCAAACATCGGAATCGGATCGGATCCAGATGGATCCTGTGGTGCGGGCCCCAGGGCCGGCAGGATCGAGGTTCGAGGATCGAGGATCGAGGATCGAGATTCGACAATTCTGCACGTGCTCGGTGCCTTTCTGGGAGGCTTCTCGCGGCCACAGCTGGACGCGCTGCCAGAATTCTGGCCGCCCAGAGGCCTCGCATCGGAGCGCTCGGGGTCCATATCTGAAGCCGATGCGGGGCCTCCTCGGAGGACGCTCTGGGTCCACGTCTGGAGCACTCTGGAGCCTCGTCTGGAGCCGCTCCCGGGGCATCGTGGAGAGCGCCTGTCACTCGGAGCGCTCCAGGGCCCGGCTCGGAGCGCTCGGAGGCCTCGTCTGGAGCCGAAGCGGCCCGGCAGGAAGCGCGGAGGAGGGGGAGGAGGAGGAGGAGGAGGGAGGAGGAGGAGGAGGAGGAGGAGGAGGAGGAGGAGGAGGAGGGAGGAGGAGGAGGGAGGAGGAGGGGGAGGAGGGGGAGGAGGGGGAGGGGGAGGAGGAGGAGGTTCAACGCCCATGAAGGGAAGTCCGGGGAGAGAGAAAAGGAAAACTGGGGGGGGGGCCCATCGAAGGAGAACTTTTTGTTCCCAGGCGGGGGGGGACTAGCCCCGCCTGGGCCCACCGACAGGGCCCCCCCCCTCAGCCAAAGATATCGTCGGGCTCAGGCTCAGGCCCTGCCCGACGCGCTTGGGCTGCAGCCCGGGCGTCCATGGCCCTTCTACCGAGCTCCTCTGCTTCAGCACGGGTTTCGAAACCGAAACACAGGAGGATGGAGTCGACCCCCAAACGGGGAGTTGGGGGCGATCTCGAAAATGGGGGCAACCTTCCGACGGCTCCCGATCCCTCATTCAGCGCCACGCCGAAGTGCGAAGCCCAGCGCTCTCGGGTGGCCGCGGAGGGGACACGAGGCTCATCGAGCGAAACGTTCTCATCGGAAGGATGCCGGAGATCTCGCAATCGCTTGCGGCTCGTGTAGGCTGAGCCCCCCGTGATCTTACGGGGCCCCACACAGGGACTGCAGAGGCCCCTCTGACGGGGGTGGACTGCGAACCGGTAGCACGTTGTACAAAATAAAAGCGGATCCCCTCCAGGGACACCCGCCTCCAGAATCGAATGTTCATTCACTCGCCATGGCCGCCGAGGGCCAAGTCCGAAATGCTCGTCATCCCCAGCGTCCTCATCCTGCCCCTCTCCAGCTCCCCAGGCCACCGCCGGCTCCTCCTCCGCAGCAGCAGCAGCAGGAAGAGAGTCCAAAGCAGGAGGGGGGGGAGGACAAGGGACCTGTGGCGGGGCCTCGGGGGCCTCGGGGTCAGGCAGGGGCCCAAGCCCCAGACACAAGTGAGGAGTCATATCGATTAGTTTAATGGCCTCCAGGCCCTGGTGGTCATGCACCTCCTCCGACACCATCTTAGCCGCCAGCCTAGCCGAGAATCTGCACGCCTGGGTCGCCAGAGCCAGGCATCCTTCCAGGAACATCACGTCGTGCTCTTCGGCTTGAGCGAAACTGGCGCCTCTTTTAGCGAACTGGTCTGCACGGGCATTGCCGACCAGGTCAAACTCAGTCAGCTTTCCATCCCTCACGTCCACCATCGAGCAATGCGCCGGGACATGCTGGCAAGAAAAATGCTGGAATTCCTCCCGGCCGTGCACGCGGAGCCACAGGTGGGCTCGAGGATTGGTGACGCTGGTTGCCTTCCGTACGTCAGAGCAGCACGATAAGGTAGCTTTACAATCGGCCCTCAACGAAAAATCACCAAGCACGTGCACCGAAGCCATGTATGCAGCGTAATCTTCACCGTCCCTGGCAGTGTTCGTTATCGCAAACTCAGGCGGTACCACACCATAGATGGCCCCTCGGTAGGTACCGTCCGAACCAAAAAATACGCAAGCCCATCCGGCAACTCTGAGAGAGGGGAACTGCGCGTGCAGCCCCGATCCATCAGTGAAGACAAACCCGCCGTCCAGGCGGATGGGAAGATCAACTCCTGTGCCTCGCAAGGCCCACATCGGGTCAAAGGCTGGACGACTCACCGCGGCAGGCAAATTGGTGAGACTGTCGCGTCCTGATCGTGCAAGCGGCCCTGCGTCCAATGCGAGCCGGCAACCAGACCCCGTAGGGTATTCTGCTGGTGCTTCCCCCAGCCCGGATCCCAATCGCAAAAAAGGCTCTCAAGCACTGGCCGCCAAAATATGGGGCCAGCCCAGCAATGCCGATCCTGCAACAGAAGCGCTCGAACGTCGGACGCCCGCCGCGCTGAAAAAGCAATCTGGTCGGCCAAGCAGGCCGGCGAATAGAACTTGAGATCCCACTCCCGGCCCCCGTCGTCCACCGCCAAACTGACCCCCCGAAATCTCCATCCCACGCGAGAGGCCGAAATAAGCATGGCGGAAACAGGATCCCGGCATGAGACCCATGGGCGAGGCTTGGAGGAGGAGGGGGAGGAGGAGGAGGAGGAGGACGAGGAGGAGGAGGAGGAGGCGGAGGAGGAGGAGGAGGAGGAGGAGGAGGAGGCGGAGGAGGAGGAGGCGGCGGAGGAGGACGAGGAGGAGGAGGGGGTGTGGGGGACCGACCTCGAGCGGCGCGTTGGGCCCCGGCGCCTCGACGTCGGCGGCCGCGTGCCAAGGCCCGTGTGCGTGCCGTGCCCGTGCTTACGTCGCTTGCGGGTCGGCGGCACCGCAGAGCGAGCGGTGCGCCTCTCGTGCCGTCGTGCGGGTGCAGCGCGTTGCACACGGGCTTCACCGACGCCGCGAGGCCCCATCGAGCTCCCAGACCCCCTCCTCGAAGCGTCCCGTTGACTACCTACCAGACCACCCCAACCCAGCCCGAAGACCCGAATTTCGGGTTGGGGGGGGTAAGGGTTCCACACGTGTTTCTTCGATGTTTCCCGACACCCCCCCGCACTGGAAATCGAGGGTAGATCTGAGCCTTCGGGTTGGGTTGGGGTGGTTTGGTGGGTGGTGACACACGGGCTTCACCGACGCCGCGAAGCCCCATCGAGCTCCCAGACCCCCTCCTCGAAGCGTCCCGTTGACTGCCCCATGCCGCAGAGGGAGCGGTCCACATCGAAGCACACGCTACATGCGCGCCGTAGGCCATCCCTCTCTCTATTCCACAGTTCGGCCACCGTCGTCTGTCATTCCTCCGCCGTGTGAACTCTCCCTTGGGCATTCCCCTTGCTACAGTCGTCACAAGAAGGGTCAATGAAGTCGCAAAGGGCGCCTTCTGCCCAGCTGCTCTGAGACCTTCAGTGTCAGCAATCAGCTAGAGGCCAATGACTTAAGAGGTGCTGGCTGGTACGAATTCGAAGATGAAAAGGTTTCGCTCGGGTGGCATGGAAGCGCGGATCTCAGGCACGGAGAGCAGATCGCACATGCAGAGTGTCAGAGTCGTTGCACGCACGGCACTCCCCGAGGCCACGCCCTGCAGCGGTGGGCCTCACCCAAACCCCGCGGGGGGCCCACCTCCCGGCACCCTCTCATTCCCCTGCTAGCCCCTGCTCCCCCCGTCCCCCTGCCCTACGCGTCGGGCTGACATGGAGTACGGATCTGACTACCTACCAGACCACCCCAACCCAACCCGGAGACCCGAATTTCGGGTTGGGGGGGGTAGGGGTTCCACATGTGTTTCTTCGATGTTTCCCGACCCCCCCCCCACTGGAAATAGAGGGTAAATCTGAGCCTTCGGGTTGGGTTGGGGTGGTTTGGTGGGTGGTGAGGATCGGTGGAACTGGCGCGCCGAAGCCAAATCCACGGATCGGGAAATTCCCCCGAAACATGCCGTCAATGCCGTCCGGTTTGGCAACGGACCGCGTCGGCTGCCATGGAAACGAGATCCGTCACTAATCTGCGCACCTCGCCTCGACCGTCGGCACTCGACTCCGCTCCCCTACCCCTGGTATTGAAGCCGCATGCCCACCCCTGCCCCAGCCGAGCTCCAAAGACCCTGTCCACGCACCTGAGAAGCAGAAAAGAGGTCCAAGGAATGCCTGACGTTCCATGTCCAGGAGTAGCTTCTACGCACGGTGGTTGGCCCTCCTCTTCCTCCTCCAGGAGCACCCTCCTCCTCCTCATCCTCCTCTCACTCTTCACTGCCATGATCACTGACACGTTGAGGCGTGATAGAATGCCAAGTGATGTCTGGCAGGAGTTAATGAAGTCTTCGAATGATGAAAGAACAACATACACACCCTCAAACCTGTACAGAAGAGGAATGGAAGAGGGGGAAGGGCAAAGAGATCAAGGCGCTGTAGTCGTGGGTGCGGGCTGTCGGACCCCGATGAAGGCTCCCGTTCGAGCGGGGCCCCTCATCCGACAACACACACATCCATACTCTGGATGGGACAAGAATCGCCCCCCCTTGAATCCGCTGGTGGAAGGAGGATAGAGGGGGGCGGGATTGGGCAAGCTCTGTCCAAAAAAAATGATCACCCCCCCAATTGATGAAGCACCCCATCCTGAGTAGCCCCTCACGGAATTCCACCCCGAGAAATCTAGGGGTCTCATCGGTACGGGTGCGAGTTGCCAGCTCGTGATCTCAGGGCCCCCCCCTCTCCCCGCAGAGTCTTCCATGAACTCGATACAGGGATGACGAGATGTGCCAGCTCTCCCACCGAAGGAAGGGAGACCCCACCATGCGAAGCAAAGCAGCCCTGGAGAAGGAAGAAGGGAGGGGAAGAGCAGGAGGAGGAAGAGCAGCAGACCCCCCAGAGGGGAAAAGACTCGCGACTGGACCACCCGCGCGCGCCCCATTGAGCGCACGCCCCCTCCCCGCCGAGTGCCCCGTGAACCGCCCTCCCTCCCGAGGCTGCCTGAACGGCCCGGCTCCCACCCTCCCCACCCCCCTGGGGCTCCCAAGGGCTTCCCAGGGCTTCCAGAACGACTAGGAGGAGGAGGAGGAGGAGGAGGAGGAGGAGGAGGAGGAGGAGGAGCGCACTCCACGACTCGCAAAGTAACTACTCGCAAATGGCCTGGATCCGCCCGCGGGGGTTTTGCGACCCATCATGTCGAGGCGAGCATGGGCTTTTAGAGCGTTTGCGAGCAGGCACTTTGCGAGTAGTGGAACGCGCTCGCGCAAGGAGGACCATATCCAGGACGCCAAGATTGCCGAGCATTGCCCCAGGAGTAGCCCAACAACCGCCAACCGAGCCCGACGAGGCGCCAGAGGGAGTCTCAGAGGCTTCGAAGACACCAAAGAAGGCCCAGAGGCCTTCCTGAAGGCCACAACTTCTCCAAAGCCCAACGACTCCAGCCTCCTGGGACTCTCGGAGCCAAGTGGTTCCAGGATCGCCACGGAGGAACCAAAGAGTAGCCAAAGGCGTTCAAGGAGGGGCCCCAGAGGCTCCCTGGACGGCACAAGAAATCTCAAAAAAAGGCCCCAAGACGGCGCAAGAAAGACCCAAGCCAAGGCAGCCCAACAGGGCATCAAAAAGATCCAAGAGAGCTCCAAGAGACTCCCCAGACGGCCCCAAAACACTTCTCACTCAGCCGAGACAGGCCCCAGACAGCCCAAGGCGGCCACAAGACGGCCCAAGAGGATTCCAAGAGGGCTCAGGATGGCCACGCCGGGGCCCAAGTTAGCCACGAGACGGCCGAGGGAGTTCTCACAAGAGCGTTTCCTGGAACAGAGAGGGAAGGTGTCACATGCTGCGGCTTTCTGGCGGCGCCCGAATCGTCGCCATACAGCGTGCTACATTGGCTCAGGAGCCGCTGCTTCATCGAGCTACTCAACGGTTCGGAAGGTCACCGCTTGCAGTGTCAGGGACAAGGTTCGTCCTTATCTTCCTCCCCCGTCGCTTCCGCATCCTCCTCATCATCGTGTTCATCAGTATCGAATTCCGCCCCATAACGGCCCGAAAGCACCTCCAACAGTTCCAAAACGGCCGATGTATCACATGTGACCGCATTTCAGGCGTCGCCACGCAGTGGATGTGGCGGGATGAAAAAGGAGAAACGTCGAGGAGGTGGGGCAGGATCAAGTTAAAAGAAGAGAGCAGTATGACTGAATGAAGATGACGCCGAGGACGAGAAGACACAAGCACACACAAGAACACATGACGCAGAAGAGCGCGTCACACCGCACGTTTCTTGCAAGCCTGGGGACACAAACGGTCACGCGTAACAGCCCCACGCGCGCCCCTCCAGCACTCGCAACCCAAGCTATTGCTATCATGGCCATCATCATCATCATCATCATCATCAACATCAGCATCATTATCATCATCATCATCATCAGCAGCATGATCACCATCATCATCATCATCATCATCATCCTCATCATCATCATCATCACCACGATCATAATCACCGTCATCACCACTATCGCCACTAACCCCCTTAGTCACCATCACCATCACCATCATCGTCGTCATCAGCATCAGCATCAGCATCATCGGCGTCGTCGCCGTCGTCATATCCATCTTGATCATCGTCAATATCAGCACGCCCATGATCGTAACCATCATCTCCATTACCACCATCCTCACCAGGATCAGCATCTGTATCGTCGCCATCGTCGTTATCATCATCCACATCCTCACCATCGCCCTCACCATCAGGATCACCATCATCGCCGTCACCAGCATCGACATCAGCTGACGCAAAACATTCGCCTCCGCATCCTGATCAGCAGCAGCAGCATCGTCACCACCATACCACCCTCATCATCAGCATCAGCATCAGCATCACCCTTACCATCAGAATCATCAGCATCACCATCATCAGCAGCAGCAGCATCAGCATCATCATTATCATCACCATCAGCAGCAACATCATTATCATCAGCATCAGCATCAGCATCATCATCAGCATCACAAGGCGGAGAACCCCCTGGAAAACGACGGCAGCCAGCGGACGAGCTGGGCCATGCCCACGGGCTGCAGCCTCGAGGCGCGGCCACTGGCCAGGAGTGCCCAGAGACAGCCCGCCTGCCCGCGCGAGGCGAGCTGGCGGTCCCGAGGCAGGCAAAGAGCGCCGCCGACAGCCCCATGCGGGGCGCGGGGAGCGGGGCAGCCGCCGCGCGCCCTCCGAGGCCAAAGGAGAGCAGCGGGCGACGGCCCAGGGCGGACCACTCCTCCCAGAAATCAAGGGGCCCAATGACACACAAATAAATAAACACCCCATTGTTTCTTATATTTTCTGTGTTTTTGTCATTCCGCCCAATTCCTATAGTTTTCCATATTTTCTGGGGGATCGTCGATGAATTTTGTCTGTGTGTTTTCCCCTCCTGAAGAAGATCCACGAGAAGATTTGGGCCTCTTCCCGCGACCACAGCCAGGCGAGTGACTCGCGACGGCGTTGCGCGCCTGGACGACCAGGCCTCAAAGAAACCCGAGCCAAAGGCGGCAGGAGCAAGGCCAGGATGGCAGGGAAGGGGGGGGAGAGTCCGAGGACCTCCCCGGGGAGGTCCCCGCAGGGCTGGAGCAGGGCCTGACCCGACGGCGATGAGCTCACGAGCTGCCTGGCCCACGGGTCCGCAGAAGAGGCTGCAGAAGATGCCCACGGCGCCGCGGACGGTGCCCACGACGGGCTCGGAGGCCCCGCGCCTCGGCGAGGGGGGGGGGGCCGCTGCACGCGAGGCCCGCGGAGGCCTGGCGCCTGGGGGCTGCCGAGGCCACGAGGCCACGAGGCGCGGCGCGCCAGCCCGCCCGCCCGACGGCGGCTGGCAGCCGAGCAGCGTGCTCCGACCTGCCCGCTGGGACGGAGCCCGCGTCATCATCCGCAGCAGCACGACTGTAGATGCTGCCAGCGCCATCCTCACGCCCGTAGTCCTCGACGCCATCATCGCCACCGGCAGCAGCATCGCCCTTGCCATCGGCAGCACCGTTGCCCTCCTCCTGCTCCGCCTCATCACCGTCGTGGTGCAGTCTTAATACTCGTGAGATCAAAAACATCCGCCACCGTGCCGCTGGGCACGGAGTGGGCGTGTCCTCGGGTCCTGGGCTTAATCATCTAAGCCTCAATCCTCACTCCTGAGGAGCTGTAAAGGGCCAGGACCCCAAGTTCCGAAATCTCTTGGGGCTTCCCGCGTCCCCCCTGGGGCTTCCCGCGTGCCCACTAGGCTTTGGGAAGTGGTGGCGCGTGATTTCCGGGCCCAAGAGGACCCCAAGACGGGCCAAGAGGGCCCCAAGCGGCCTCCAAGACGGCCCAAGAGGGCCCCGAAACACCCGAGAACCGGCCGAAGACGCCCAAGATGGCCTCAGGATGGCCCAAGAGGCCTCCAAGGTGCCCCAAGATGCCTCCAAGAGGCTTCCCAAGAGGGCCTCAAGAGGCAAAAATCATTCATGTTCCTTCGGTGCTCAAAAGGTTTCAGCACTCTCGCCTTTTCGGCTTTCCGACACTCCAAGACAGCCCAAGAGGCCCCTAAGACCACCCCAGAACGGTCCAAAAGGCCTCCGAAAGGGCCCCAAGACGGCCTAAGAGCGCCCCAAGACGGCCCAAGAGGCGCCCAGGGCCCAAGGAAGGGAACACGAACCGAAAATCCGAGCCTTCCGCCCCAAGAGGCCCCGAGGAGGCCCCAAGAGGCGCACAGGAGGCCCCAAGATGCCACTTAAGAGGCCCCCGAGAGGCCTAAAGAGGCCTAAAGAGGCCCCAAAACTGCCACCACGAGGCTGCCGAGAGCCCCCCCACGAGATCCCAACGAACATTCAATGGGATGTGTACCCACAACCCAGGCACGGTAGCGTGATGTGCCGAAGGCCATTGGATCCGCCGCCCCCTGTTGCTTGCAAGAGGGGTGCCTGGCGTGCCAAATCCTATCGGTTTTTGGTTTTGACTCTTTTCCAAAAGAAGTCCCCCTGGGCCTCCGGCGCGTCCCGCCGGCCACCCGGAAAGATTGCCAAGGACCTCAATCCGGAAAAAACTCCTCCAAGATGGTCCAAGATGGCCTCCAAGATGGTCCAAGATGGCCTCCCAGTCCGCCCAAGATGGTCCCTGACGGCCTCCAAGACGGCCCAAGAGAGTCCAAGATACCTCCAAGGTCGCCCGAGAAGCCTCCAAGACGGCCGGCACAACACGACCCAAGAAGCCTCCAAGAGGTCCTCCAGAAGGGTCCGAAGGAGGCTCAAATCATGTTTTTTTCCATACGTTTTTGAAGGATTTTGGCATTTGCTTCTTCTTGGCATTCCGACGGCGGCCCAAGGGGCCCCCAAGATCGCCCAAGAGGCCTCCAAGAGAGCCCAGCCCAAGAGGCCTCCAAGACGGCCCCAAGACGGCCCCAAGACGGCCCAAGAGGCCTCCAACGCGCCCAAGATGGCCTCCAAGACGGCCCCGAAGCGCCCCAAGGGGGCCCCAAGTCGGTTCAGAGAGGCCCCCAAGACGGCTCCCGACGGCGTCAGACGGGCCAGGAGCCCACCAAGATGGCCGAAACTGGCTCGAAGCTGGCCCAAGACGGCCCGACGGCCCGAGACAGCCCAAGAGCCCCCAAAGATCGCCCAAAGATCGCCCAAGATGCCTCCAAGATGGCCCCAGAACGGCCCAAGAGGCCCCCAAGACGGCCCAGGCGGCTTTTAAGACGCCCAAGATGGCCTCCAAGACGGCCCCGAAGCGCCCCAAGGGGGCCCCAAGTCGGTTCAGAGAGGCCCCCCAAACGGCTTCCGAAGGCGCCGGACAGGCCAGGGGCCCACCAAGACGGCCGAAGATGGCACTAAGATGGCCCAAGACGGCCCAAGGGGCCTCCAAGAGGGCCTCCAGGAAGGCCCGAAAAGGCCAAAATCATTGATTTCCCATAAGTTATTGAAGGATTGTGGCATTTGCTTTTTTCGTCCTTCCGACGGCCCGAGACGGCCCAAGTGCCCCCAAAGATCGCCCAAGAGGCCCAAGACGGCCCCAAGAGGCCCCCAAGACGGCCCAAGAGGCCTCAAAGACGCTCAAGATGGCCTCCAAGACGGCCCAAGAGCCCTCCAAGACGTCCTCCAAGAAGGCCCGAAAGGGTCCAAATGGCCTCCAGGCGGCCAAGATGACCTTCAAGATGCCCACGTGTTCCCCGAAGGCTTTCCAAACCGATTCGGGGAACACATGGTCCGATAGCTTGGCAGGGCTGGCCTCAACGTTCGGCCACATAGGCGCTTCCAAAAAGGCAGGGGGCGGCGATGATTCGCCGTAGGCGTCTTCGATCGAATGTAGTTTTCACTAACAATTATCATGCCCATCGCCATCGTCATCATCATCAACATCATCATCATCATCCTCATCATCATCATCATCATCATCATCATCATCATCATCATCATCAGCATCATCAGCATCTGCAGCAGCATCATCAGCATCAGCATCATCATCATCATCAGCAGCAGCAGCATCATCATCATCAGCATCATCATCACCACCATCATCAGCATCCTCATCATAATCATTACCAGCATCATCAGCATCATAATCATGAATCATCATCATCAGAATCATCATCATCATCACCAGCATCAGCACCATCATCATCATCAGCATCAGCATCAGCATCAGCATCATCATCGTCATCATCATAATCGTCGACGTCGTCATCGTCATCATCATCATCATCAGCAGCATCACCATCATCATCATCATCATCATCATCATCCTCAACAGCATCATCATCATCAGCAGCAGCATGGGCATCAGCATCAGCATCATCATCATCAGCAGCAGCAGCAGCATCAACATCATCATCGGCATCATAATCAGCGTCATCAGCACCATTGTAATCATCAACATCATCAGCATCATCAACAGCATGAGCATCATCCTCATCATAATCATCATCACCGTCATCATCAGCAGAAGCATCATCAGCACCATCAATCATCATCATTATCATCATCAGCATCATCATCATTATCGTCGTCGTCATCATCAGCATCGTCGTCACCATCATCGTAATCATCAACATCATCAGCATCATTATCAGCAGCATCGTCATCACCATCATTATCATCAGCAGCAGCATCGTCGTCATCATAATTGTCGTCGTCATCATCAGCAGCAGCATATCATCATCATAATCAGAATTAGAATCAGAATCATCATCACCATCACCATCATCAGCATCACCACCATCATCATGAGCATCAACATCATTCGCAGCAGCAGCATCATTATCATCACCATCATCATCACCACCATCATCACTAACATCATATTGGTCAGCATCACCCTCATAATCATCATCATGATCAGCAGCAGCAGCATCAGCATCAGCATCAGCATCATTATCATAATCAGCATAAGCATCACCAGCAGAAGCAGCGGCAGCATCAGTATCAGCATCACCATAGTAAGTATCAGCATCTTCATCGTCAGCGTCATCGTCATCGTAGTCATCTGATTCATCATCATCATCAGCAGCAGCAGCATCATCATCATCACCATCAGCATCATCATCAACATCATCAGCAGCAGCAGCGGCAGCCACATCATCATCACAGCCTCCAAAACCACCACAATCATCCTCCCCCCTCCCACCTCCCCCCTCCCCACTCCTCCTCCTCCTCCTCCTCCTCCTCCTGCTCCTCCTCTTCCTCCTCCGCCTCCTCCTCCTGCTGCGCCTCCTACACCTCCTCCACCTCCTCCTCCCCCCCCTCCTCCACCTCCTTCTCAACACCTCTCCCTCCTCCTCCTCCTCCTCCTCCTCCTCCTAGTCCTCCTCCTCCTCACTCCTCCTCCTCTCCTCCTCTTCCTCCTCCTCCTCATTTTCCCCCCCTCCTCCTCTCCTCCTCTCCTCTCCTCCTCCTCCTCCTCCTTCTCGTCCTATTCCTCCTCCCCCGCCTCCTCTTCCCCCTCCACCTCCTCCTCCCCCTCGTCCCCCTCATCCCCGCCCTGCAACCCCCCTAATCCCACGTCCGCGCCCACTTCCCCACCCACCCCCCCGCGGGAGCCGGCCAGGCCTCTTCCGAGGGCCTCCCCGGCGGACCGCACGGCGGTGGCCAGGAAGCCCTGGCTGCTCCTCCTCCTCATCCTCTTCCTCCTCCTCCTCCTCCTCCTTCTCCTTCTCCTCCTCCTCGCCCTACTCCTCAACACCTCTTTGTCTTCTTGCTCCTCCTCCGCCTCCTCCTCCTCCTCCGCCTCCTCCTCCTCCTTCTCGTCCTCTTCCTCCTCGTTCTCCTCCTCCTCCGCCTCCTCCGCATCCTCCCTCCTCCTCCTCCCCTCTCCCTCCTCCTCCTCCTCCTCCTCCTCCTCCTCCCCCTCCTCCTCCTGCTTTTCCTCTTTCTCCTTTTCCTCCACCTGCGCCTCCTTTTCCTCCTCCTCCTCCTCCTCCTCCTCCTCCTCCTCCTCCTCCTCCTCCTTTTCCTCCTCCTCCTTCTCCTTCTCCTTCTCCTCATCCTCCTCCTCCTCCTCCTCCTCCTCCTCCTCCTCCTCCTCCTTCCTGCTCGTCCTGCTCTTCCACCTCCACCTCCCCCACCTACTCCTCCTGCCCCATCCTCCTCCTGAACACCTCCCCTCCCTCTTGTTTTTAGTATTATCATTCGCAGTCCCAGTATGATTCATAGTACCATTAGCATCATTATTCTCCATGTAGTAAGATTAATGTTGCTTCTACGATTAGTCATGATAACAATGACAACAACAAAAACAGCGACGACAACAGCAACCACAGTACAAATGATAATAATTATAACAAAAATGATAATAATGAGAATAATGATAATACGAATGAAAATAATAATGATAATGATAATACTACTACTTTGATAACAAACAATAATGATAGCATGCAATAATAAGAAAACTGGATAATAGTAGAAATCATAGTTAAACTGATGGTAAAAAATACGAATAGTAATAACAACTAGTACTACGAATAACCATACGAATAAAAAAACTGTTATGATGACTGTTCTCAATCTCATTATCCCTCTTCCTCCTCCTCCTGCTCCGCCTCCTCCTCCTCCTCCTCCTCCGCCTCATCCTCCTCCATCTCCTCCTCCTCCTCCTAGTCCTCTTCCTCCAACTCCTCCTCCACCTCCTCCTCCTCCCTCTCCTCCTCATCCTCCTCCTCCGCATCCTCCGCATCCTCCTCCTCATCATCATAATCATCATCAGCATCATCATCATCCTCCGCTTCCTCCTCCTCGTCCTTCTTCTGTTTCCTCCCTCCGCTTCCTCCTCCTCCTCCTCCTCCTCCTCCTCCTCCTCATCCTCATCTTCATCCTCCTCCTCCTCCTCCCTCCTCTCCTCCTCCTCCTCCTCGTCCTCCTCCTCCTCCTCCTCCTCCTCCCTTTCTCCTCCTCATCCTCCTCTTCCTCCTACGCTCCTCATCCTCCTCCTCCTCCTCCTCCTCCTCCTCCTCCTCCTCGTCCTCCTCTCCTGATCCTCCTCCTCCTCCTCCTCCTCCTCCGCCTCCTCCTCCTCCTTCTCCTCCTCCTGGCTCAAGACGTTGCACGCCAAGGCAGTCACGTATCACTGACCGCGCTCCTCCTCCTCTT